AATGGGCAAGGGTTCTGCTAACTCCATTGTGGGGTCCCAATAAGAAGGGTTGTAAGATTTAACGGTCTATATTCGGGTCCCCTTAACATGGGAAACTGCCAAATCCAGCCTAAATTGAACTACCGCCTGTGACCTTCTCTCCTTCCGCAGCATCCTGCTCTAAAGACTGATGGGCTGAAAAAAGACTCCTGCGCAGAGTTTGGGGAGGTCCCTGAATCCTACGCCTGAGACCTTTAGACGAACCTTTGGCAAAGCCTGAACCCTACACCTGTAGAAAAACGCAAGCCCTACACCACCATGTAGGTGGCTGAAGTCAGGGTACACCAGTGCCAGCTGCTTCCCATGGTAGGAGTCGTATACAACGTCGCTTCCCAGCAGTAAGTGAAACCTGAGCGAAACTGTGCTCACTCGTTTCGTAATTGGCAGCAGCGGCATGGGCTACAGGGGTTTTCATGGGGTGAAGTGTAAGGACTGCTATAAGCCACTCTCAACTTTCAAGAGTGTGTATAACCGGGGATGCGCAAGGACAGCAGCAGCAACCCAGATTGCTCGCTGGTGTTGAGTGTAGATCCCTGCGAAAGAACCCATCGCCTGCATCCAAGGACAGTTACTACTGCCATGCTTTACTGCTCCTTCTAACTACACTATCGCCCACCCCGGACAGCTACACCTAAACACTATACCTTGATGAGGCCTTACCTCCTGAACTGTCAATTCCAGATTTGTGTTTTCCAATTCCTGACTGGTGCTTAGTAGGGAATAAGGGAACATAAGCCCTATAGAATCCCAATCTAATATATTCCTTTATTCCCTACTAACCCTAAGCCTTCAACCCTAAAACCCTGAACGCTCTGATATGGGTGGTTGTCAAAATTATGGTCCCTTTTTGGGTACCCTAAATATTAGGTGCCGTATTATCATAGGGATCCAAAAGAGGCCATACTTTTGACAACTACCCATATATTCCCTTATGCCCTACAAACCCTAAACCCTATACCCTAAACCCTAAACCACAAACCCCAAACCCTAAACCCTAAACCCTAAACAACCCACAGTAAATGCTCTGAGCAGGCTGAAGCCTTGGGGCTCCCACGATCCCAGCTGCTTCGCCTCAGCGAGCTCCTTCAAGGTGCCTGCACTGAACAGGGTGTAGTCCTCCTTAAGCAGACATAATATGGGGGCCTATGGGGATCTTATTCTGATATTGGGCAATTGCATACTTTATCTTCTTAAGGGGGGGCCTATAGCAGTTCATTTGTTCTTGTTAAAGGACGTGGTCCTCCATGAAGGTCGGAGGAAAGCTGTAGAAGCTGGGCAGGCATATGCACTTCTGCCTCGTTTCCGTCAAAAATCACCTTCATCTATTTTTTGTCCTTCCCGACATCTACGCCTAGCGCCCTCCCAAGTGTTGGAGGCCTACTTTCCAATCCCTTTGCTTCACCCTCAGCAGGCCGCATACCGCACCCTACCTTCAGAATTTCAAACCCTGGAAGGCCATTATAGGGGTGAATACAGGGGTTATATAGGG